CATCACCTTCTCAATTTACTTTAGGTATAGCGTTTCTAATAAACACTAATTTAAGAGGTGCACAGGACTGGATACCTTGCGCTGTATTTTTGTGAAAATTTGGAATTTTTTTCCGGGTCATTCTTTCATGAAAAGATCACCAATGGATTTATACAATTTGTAACACCTTTTTCCTCATGTAAATTGTTGAGAAACAAGTACTGTTGAAAACCTTTTTCCGCAATTTTTTTTGGCGTGAAACAAAATAACAAAATTAATTATTTCTAGGTTTCACTGTTTTTGACTTTTTTTGCTTCGAGAGTAACATTTATGTCATTAACTTAGCACTTACCTAGAAAAGTTTACCTGCTCATTCATTTTAAAAATATACGCAATCGGTATTACGCAATCGAAATCAATCCATTGTAATCATTTTTTTTTTCAAAATCATCAAGAACTTATATTCTTGATTTAAACATCATCAAAAAATTATATTCATTGTAATCCGTTTAAAATGAAAAAAAAAGAAATAACATAAATTTTTTTTTAAATAAAATTTTTCTGCGTATATATTTTGCATATCCCTCTCACAATAACTCTCTTTTCAGTTTTAACTCTTCAAAATTTACCCCAATCCCTTCACGTTTATCTGTTTTTCTCATCTTATCTTCTCTACACACAAGCTCCCCACTGACTTCACCCCCGCGAAGTTTTTGTCTATATTAACTCCTACTCGCTCGCTTAACTTGCTCGAATAAAAAACTAAAATTTTTAAGCAGTTTTTCTTAAAACATAAAAAACTTTCAAAACTAGCTTGAACCATGACTGCAAAAGTTTTTTAATGATTTTGTTAGTCATTTGTGCTAGCTGATTTTGCAGAAAAGTGAAAGAAACAAAAAACAGACACCCAAAAACATAGTTCCTCCCTAATTTCCTTGTTAGAAACAATAAGTAGAATACGAACAAAAACTTTTTTTGTAGCCGGTTATCCAAGTGATTTAGAAAAGCTATCGAACTTTCAAAATTGCAAAACAGTCTGAAGCCCATAATAAATGAGTTGATCTAAAATCTCGGCTATTTGTCAACCATATAGTTGGCTTCTGCTATTCGCAAAGGGTCGAAATAAACTATCAGGCCCGACTAAGCATCGCCCGTTGCTTTTCCCCCTAAGCTGAGTTGTATTGTTTAAATAAACTGTTTTTGCGACGTTATTTTGGATTGAGAAATTACACTTGGTACTCCTATTGCAGGAAGTCGGTCAGGCTGTGGTAGAACTGAAGCTAAAGGTATCGGAGCGATTTTGAGCGGTACAGTGTTTTAGGTATTTGTTTGTGGAATCCAAAACAGCGAAGAAGATCAAAGAAAAGTAGCAAAGTTGCGGATTCCGCAACACTTTTGATTTTGACCTGTTGCGGAGTCCGCTTACAATGCACAGATTGCACAGTTTGGCCTCGTAATGGTGAGAACTTGTTTTCGTACACTATCATTGCCATGGCGAGGGATGCAAGACACGATCTGACAATCTTAAACTGAGCGCCTTACCACTGCTAAATGACACATAGTAGTGCTTTTTACCACTAAGTGAGTTCAAGTATTCAAATTAAAGTTGAATTAAGTAATTTGAGCTCTACATATTCCCACAAAATGCAAAGTGTTATGAGAAAAATTTTTGAGAAAATAAATTGCTCACTAATTTTTGGTTTTTTAATGGTAAATATCACGAAATTGGCATCAACCAAAGCAGAAATTAGATTCAGTACTGTTTTTTTGTGATGTATGGTTTCAAAAGAAATCTTACTCTCTTGCTAAAAACTTCGAGTTTATCGTGGAAACTGAAAGAAAGGGACAATGATGTCAGAAACGGTTTGGTGATTAAATTTCTGGCTTGTATGTAAACTACCATGCTCAGAATTTTTTGTAAAAAAGTCGAAGACTTCGAGTCTCCGGAGACTTTAGCAGCATTCATTGGTGGCTGATCAAATTCACTTTTTAAAGTGTCTTTGACGAGAAATTACACTGAAGTTTAAGAAGAAGTGCGCGTCCCAACGTGCAAATTTTTGGTCGGAAGCTATTAAAAACTAAGCAAAAAATGACCTGTATTTTTTAAAGAAACAATTTGTTCGAATTAAAAAAAAACATTCCAACAATGTTTTCGAAAAATTGTTTTCCTGCTAATAGCCACTTAAAAAAATCTAGATTTGTTTTTTCAATTCATCGGACTCCCAGCTCTCAAAATTTAAGAGCCACTGCTGAATCTTGAAAATTTTTCCGTAGTTTAACTAATTGAAAAAGTTACCAGGAAGTAGGAAGTTTTTTATTGTAAAACATTTAGTTTTTGGTGGCTTGATATTTAATAGTCGGCCCAATTTTTTTGCTCGTTTCAAAATTGAAAAATTTAATTCAGTGTTTGAAGCTAACTGATAGAAAAAATATGCCAGGAAAAGTTTGTTTCAATGTGTGGTACAGCACTTACTGCAAGTGCAGTAGCCATTGTGATATTGCTGCACACTGACCTTGGGATTCATATTGTTATTTGTAATTATGCTGCTATATTGTTATTAACTTAGTATAAAGGTCATTTGGTGTGGAACACCGAGTTGCCTCATTTTTAGTGTGAAGCTCTACGTACACAAGATACGGCATTATGAGCTGGTTCGTGGAACCGAGAAAAGCAGCAAACAAAACTCAGCTTTCAAAGATTAAATTAACGCTTTGAACTAAACATTTGTTTTCGATTGAGTCACAGCATTCCATCCCCTATCACATGGCGCAGCCAGCAGGATACATGGCACTGGATAATCGAACGGACATGGGCATCCCAGTGTTCTGGACGTCAGCTAGTTCGGATCCACCGAGGAGTTTTATAATTTGGTTGGATCAATTTATGCTAGCAGTGACGGTGAAACAAAATGTGAATCCCGAGTAATACTAAAAGACCCAAAAGAAGTTGTTGATGAGCCAATGCCTCGTCCAGAAACTCTGGGAGAAGCAGAAAGTGCATAGGCAGTAACGCACCGGGAAGCAAGAGATAGATTAAGAAGAGACAAAGTAATACTTGAGAACCAAGAAAGGAGGGAACGCGGACCTAAAGTCGGACATACTGTGTTCTATAATGAAGTTCAAAAACGACTTACGTCTCGTTTATTCCTGGCACTTGGTACCGAGGGGAAAAAGAAATTCGTGCAGAAAAACCCACACGCGGAAGTTTCAAAACTTGAATTAAGAGAAATGGTGGCATTGGCCGAAGCATCATTCGAAAAAACACGAAACATTACGTACGAACGATATAGACTAGTCACCAGAGCTCAAGAAACAGGGGAGACGTTAGAATCGTTTCACGCGGCACTAACTGCACAAGCAGCTACGGCCGAACTGAGCGGTCTCGAAGAAGAATTGGTTCAAAATTTATTCATATCTAGAGTGAAAAATACAGCATTGCAAGATACTCTGACGTTCGAAGCCTTCACGCGAGACGAAGTACTCAAACGAGCTATCAAATTTGAGCAGAGTAAACAAACCACACAAGCGTTTCAGAAATCAGGGAATGGAAGCACAGGAGTGGGCCAATTGCGGGAGACACAGATCAAAATAAAACAAGAACCCATAATGGCAGTTGGTAATAAAAATTCAAACTACAGAAGACAAAATAAAAACCAATCTCAAAAGAGATAGAATGACAATAAAAGTACAAATCCCCGTTCAGACCAGAAACCATGCACACGATGTGGAAAATTATTCGGTTCAGTTCAAGAACAAAGGACCAAGCAGATATGGGAATCCCTATAAGCATTCAGTAAAGTTGGTCAGCTCTAATCAGGATTTAATAGATCTCAACATGGCAGCTATCGAGGCTTATCGAATAAAACTGGTAAATTTTAGAACGGACGTGAACAAACCGGAGGATACAAAATTGGGCCTACTTGAGAAACACTTGATCAGACAAAAATTTGGCAGTGAAGCATTAGACGTTTCGAGAAGTTGGAATGCATCGTGGCGTGTTCCCCTGAATTTTGTAGACAAAATTCCTGACAAACAAGAGAAATGACAAGTAGAGACAGCCTCAAACAAATTTTTTTGCAAAACTAATTAAAACTGAGTGTAAAACTCATAGTTATTTATTGAATTTTGTAAGTACAGTATATAAAACTTATTTAACCCAGGGGGAGTGTGGTACAGCACTTACTGCAAGTGCAGTAGCCATTGTGATATTGCTGCTCACTGACCTCGGGACTCATATCGTTATTTGTAATTATGCTGCTATATTGTTATTAACTTAGTGTAAAGGTCATTTGGTGTGGACCACCGAGTTGCCTCATTTTTAGTGTGAAGCTCTACGTACACAAGATACGGCATTGTGAGCTGGTTTGTGGAACCGAAAAAAGCAGCAAACAAAACTTAGCTTTCAAAGATTAAATTAACGCTTTGAACTAAACATTTGTTTTCGATTGAGACACAGCATTCCATCCCTTATCACACAATGCCTTTTGATATCGAAAAATTATTTTTTTTGGAAAATAATCCATGATTACTTTTAAGAGACACATTTTTGTTCTAGTTTGTGTAAAAATGGGAGTTCTCGAATGAATATAAAAACAGATAAATATATGCACGAAAATGATTGGATTATTAGTGATGTAGTTTGTTTCTTTTCCCCATATGTTTTTTTTGTTTTTATTTATCGTTTTCGTATTTTGTTTATTTCCTGTCCAGTTTTGTTACATTTAACAATGTTGTTTTTCAGCTAAATGTGAAGGGAAACTAATCGGAACAATGTTTTGTCTATCTATCAGATTATTTTGATGGTCTTTTTACCCACACGAGGGGAAAAACAGTTTTCGGTTCATTCTTGCCATGGTAACTCAAACATCTTTTTCCTGCATCAATTTCAACAACGCTCGAAGCGTTAACTTCCCTTATTTTCAAATGGAAAAAGGAAGAAAATGGTTGCATTCGCGTCGATTATAAAACAAAAAAGCACCTATTCAGTCTGCATTCCTATTCGTTGGTAAGAATTGGTTGAAAAACAACGAAGGAACAGGCAACAGTTACATAAGCAGTTACAGAAAGATGGTGGGTTTTTGTATTTTACACAAAAGCAGTTTTTTGAGCAGAAAGTGACTTATTTCCTTCTTACAGCTTCAGCGCTTTGCCATTCATTCAATTTTGACTGTTTTGTCGCTGTTAATGACGAAATTCAACTAAGCGTCCGGTCTATGCAGCTCAATTTATTTCTTGAAAAATTCCATTTTCTTTTTATTTCTGGGCAAAAATAAGGACGTTTAGCCCGCATATTATCGAATCTTTTTGAAATGAAACAATATTGAACATTTCACGCTAAATTCTCAGCCGGAAATTCACCTTGCGTTTTCCTTGGGTTTTGCCGTATTATACATACAACTTTGCTATGGCAACCTAATACTCCTAACCTTTGTTCTTTTACATTTTCCCCCTTTTGATGCCTTTTTTGAAACCCTTATAATTGATTTTTATCAACAAGAACTGCCGCTTTCCTCTTGGTGTAGATTTTTTACTAGCAAAAGTCAACAATTTTTTATTTAAATTATGAGAAATATTGATTATGCCAGTAAAATTTTAAAAACGAAGACCAAGTTTGGTCGATTTTACAGGCTTTTTGTTGAAATTATGTTTAATTTATAATTAATAACATAAGTTCAATGCATTAAAAACGTTTATTAAAGTTCAATTTTAATCAGAATTACCTGGAAACTGCGTGAAATGAGTTATTTTTTGATCGGCTTGATTTCAATTTTCTCAAATGGAGGTGAAACGTAAAAACCACTGAGCCGGAAGTATGCCAGGAGGACGCAGAGGCCTACTGGCCCCCCAGAACACTTTTCTGGACTCCGTCATCAAGAAAGCTGATGAACAAAGTGAGTGGAGGGATAAAAATTTTTTCGTCGCAATTTAAATGTTTTCGTAGCGAGTTTTCGTCGCAATTTTCTGCCGCATTTTTGCCGTGTTTTGGATTCTGGTTTAACTATCGATTTATATGATTTAATTTATGTTTGTATATACAAACATGTGTTTCTAAAGAAAGCATAGGCTTAATTTTTTGTTTGCTATGCTCGGCAATGAAATTATTATGAAACTGCTTCGCAGAAAATGCATGTAAACTTGTGACTTTAAAATGAATTTTTAGTGTTTTTGAAAAAGAAAGTATCTAGTCGGTAACTAGACTTTTTTGCAACATTTTTCTCGCAAATCTTACTTTTTTATTAAACTTTAACTTCCACACTCCTTCCAGCTTGGTATAGAGTTAACTTGTTGTTTGCTTAGATTAGACAGTTTATTTTGTGTCGTATCAAAAAAAAATTTAATTCAAGTCGGTTATTGTGCAAATATTTAAAACGTTCAAGCTTAACCGCTCAAGGGACAAAAATTTCCTATAGCATTTTTTGTCTTCGACCTAATGGGCGTCTACCCACGTAATTTTGACTTAGTGGGAACTTGTCAAAAACTAAAAAAATTATCTGAAACAAGTGATTGTAGTTTCTCAACTTTTTTTCTGAAATTGACTTGTTATTTCTATAAAAAAAATTGTTTTCCCCGAGTTTTTTCAAACGTTTTTCTGCTTTGTTATTTCTGTCTTTTTTCAATTCGCTAGATTGCAATACACGTTGCAAGGTTTTATTGCAAGTGATGAAATGAGGCGAAGCTTTTCTTCGCATCTGTGTAAAATTATAACATTTTTCTTTTTGAGGAGGCTGAGGCAGATCAAAAAACAATTTTGTCATAGCTTTTCTTTCAGACTGCTATCAAACGCAAACGTCTACTTTTTTATTTAAGCTTTGTATGCTCCATTGTTTTTGTACGAAAAATAAGCATTAAAAAATTATTTTGCGGGTTTTAATGATGTACATTTGGAAACGTGAATCCAGAAAACAGTGGTACTCCAACAAGCCGAAGAGCCAACAAACCAAAAACACGCTTACCATTCCAACAAGCCGAAAACTAATTTGATTCTGCTTAATAATAACATATTGCCCTTGTTGTTATACAATTGTTTCGTAACTCTTATGTAATTTACGTAACTATGATGTAACGTCGGCTTCAAGGTTTGGCGGTTCTTAGATATGTCGGTTTGTTGAATATCCGCTCCAGAAAACGTTAAGAAATTTTTTGAATATATAGATCGGAAGCTTTTTTATTCGCTTCCGAAACTTAGATCTGGTGAAAATTTTTTCAGATATGAAATAACAATGAAAATCTAAAATGTTAGATCTCGAACGAGATCTGTCATAACTCATTCTGAAAGTGTTCAAACTTTGTTTTTGCAATCCATTTTATCAGCATATATTGTATAGATTTTGAGCACAACTTTGAAATACCAACTTTTTTGCAATATTCAACTTTGTATAGATCAATTAGCGGCAAAAGTTCGGACTATTTACTCGCCCTCTTTTTGTTCAAACTACACTTCTAGTCCACCCATTTTGAAAAACTATTAATCTATTTTAAAAACCTTGTTTTTATGCAGATGCGTCTTTCTTCATTAGGAAAACATATTTTAGCAGTCTTCGGTGGGAGATTTGCGAAGTATCCACAGAACCTTTAAAGTACTGAAACATCAAAATTAGCCAAAGTAGAGTCAAATTATGAATAATTTAGATCTGAAAATTTCAGAAGAGCAAAATTTCAGACCTGCGATAGATTTTTTTGAAATAAACAGTGGTTTGAAAAAATTTCAAGCCCAAAACAGATCTGAAATAATCCGTTCTTTTGTTTTGAATTAGATTTTTTTCAGACCTGATTCAAAAAATTTAATACACACTGCTAGGAAAAAATTATTTACATCTTAAAGTTTAAACATAAGAGAGGTATCGAAAAAAATTACAATTTTTTTCTATTCCAATTTTCTGAATAATTATACGCGGTGTGTTTTGTATTTGGACCAAGTTTGACTGTTTAATTAACTGATTTTAAAAGCTTTTTTTAAATAGTCTTAAAACTAGGATGGCCAGCTCGAAAAAGGTGAGCTCAAACTGAGCTCAAACTCAGCAAATGTTGCAAATTGAAATAAACTTGATCAAAAATTTTCGTAAATATAAGAAAAAAATTTTGTGTCGTGCTTGACATTGTGTAGATGATTTCAAAAAAAACAGATTGCTCTGCAATTGGCTTTTTCTGACTTGTCTGCTAACTGATACTGAAAACTTGTATCTGTTCATTTCAGACATTAGCTTCGTTGTAACGAATGCACGGGTAGTCGACTTCCCCATTGTGTACTGCAACGAACTGTTCACTAAGCAGACTGGCTTTCCCAGGACAGAGGTAACATCTAAATCTTATTTGTCAAATTTTTGGTCCTGATAGATCTATAAACACTTTTTGACAACGAGCATTAAGTACTAGGTTAAATGACAGAATATGATGATTGAACAAGGCACCCAGAAGGAAAATGCTTGGAAAAAAAGAAAGAAACAAGAAACAAATTTTTGACATTGTGATTGCCTAGTATTAATTGATTAATTAAGATCATTTATCCACGAGGGATAGGAACATCCGAGGTGTACAGCTCGTCGCGGCGAAGTATATATTATCTACCCCGAAAAGTCTAATTTAACGGTTAAACATATACAAAACTTGAAAACCGAGTTACAAATCCTCTTTCGTTATAACTTCCTAATGCAAACGAGAAATATTCGTTAATAAATTTAAGCGCCAAATTAGGCTTTTAAAGAGGTAGATATCCTTTAAAGGTATTAATAACGTCTGAAACGTTCGTCTCCTACTCTTTCCTTTTTTACAAGCCTTTTCCCCGTCTTGGTACCCTGTGGAATCGCCATTTTGGGTGATGGGGGGGGGGGGGGTGGATATCAGTTAAATACATTGAGGGCTTGGAAAAATTGGTAATTTGTCCATAGGTGAATATGAAGACAGGCTACATGAGATTCATGCAGGGGGAGCACACGGACCAGGAGAACTTCTTGAGGATCCAGACTGCCTACGAGGAGATCAAACGAGACCAGTTCGATGTGCTGCTCTACAAGAAAAACAGTGAGTATAGTCCTGATTGAACATTAAACAACACATCTCTTAAACGATCCCCCCAATTGTAAATGGTAGAGTTGTTCGTTACTAGGTACGAAACTCGCATATTCTTTCATATAGTTAACCGTTGAAATAGTTTTTTTCTAGTGTTGGCAATTCGTTACTATAGTTATCATAGGGGCGGCGGGGGAAATAAATGACAAAATTGTGAATTAAGTTAACGTTTGGCTGACTGGATTTCGAGTCGGTGGTTGAATAAATTTGAGGTCCTTCAATGGGTTGGTGGTGTTGAAGAGTACCGAAGCAAAAATGAAAACAGCTAATTGAGGCAAAAGCCCTGAAAAATTGTAACCACGTCGAGTATCTAAAAAAAAGATTCCACGAGGTTGAAATCCTTATTAACCTTTTATAATATGAGCAGACAATGCCTTCGAGTTGATACGTGTTTTGAGCTCTGCCAGTTCAGAATCATAAACTGTTTTGAATACGCCTGGTCAGGGGGATCTAGGATTTTCTCGAGGAATGGGAGCGGATTTTCAAAAAAAAAGCGGATTTTCAAAAAAAAATCTTTTAAAACTTTATCGACCTTTTTTTAGGTCGACCAAATTGATTTTCCGAGCTCTTCCAAAGCACTAGGTGTTCCAAAGTAGGTCTTCCGAGCTAGGTATTCCAAAGTAGGTCTTCCAAAGTAGGTCAAAGCTCTAGGTCTTCCGAGCTCTTCCAAAGTTTTGGCTTTTTTTTGAGCCGCTGGCGATTTTTTTGAAAAATAGGCGAAAAAAGGCGTTTTCAAGAACTGTTTGTAAAATTTCAATTTGTTTTTGTTTTGATTTCGGTTTGCAGCCCAAATCCTTCATCAAATAGGAACTAATCCTTACGTTTTTAGACAATTCTTTTGGGTAGAATTTGTATTATCATTCGGTCCATCTTTCATTCGAATAGCCAGCGCTTTAAGAGGGAGAGATGATTACTTAGTCCCAAACTTTTTTCAAAAATTTGTCCAAATTAACTTTAACTTTGAAACTTAAAAGAGTTTCTGGGGTCACCGAGTTGAACAAGTAATCACTAAGCGTACAAATGATAAAGCGGAAATGTAGAGGGCATAAAAAACGGAAAGCTTTGAACAAGCTTTTAGTAGATTTACTCGATATACTAGTTTATAATTAAACTTCAAAAGGTTTCGTTCGATACCGGAAAACACAAAAGGATCGACCCATCTAAATATTCAATTAGTTTCCTTTAAACTGTATTTCTAACAATTATGCAATCAAAGGTCCTCTAAAAGCACTAGGCATAGGGTTTATTTAAATTTCAAGACTTGTGGGGACGTTTTTCACACTAATTTACGTAAGGGAATTGAGCTTTAACTGATCAAAGGTTTTTGTTGTTGGCCTAGGAGAGGCAGCATATTTGCAAGGAGACAAATTTTAAGGTATTTTATATTATTAGTTTTTCACTATCAATTAATCGCACTCATAGCATAGAGCAATAAATGATAGTCATGGAGCAATAAATCAATCGTAAAAAACTGCTCGCATCAGAACGGGGAATTGAAAGCTGTGACTGCGACTGCCTTTTGTAATTTTTCAAAAAAATTTAATTTTAAAAGTTTGACAATTTTTTGCAAATCAAAATCATTTATGAAAGAAAGTTGAATTTTCTTTCTCTTGAAAATTTACCCCCCACAATTATTTTAAGATGTGGTTGACATAATTTGCATCTATTAGCACATCATTTGGATTAACTAACGTGCCTCAACGTAATTGAGAATAAATTCCCAGCTAAATCATCTCGCAAAATTTGCTACGCGCTAATTTGAAAATTGAAAGGTCACGGATCCTAATTGTACCAAATTGCCTAAAGTAGCCCCATTTTTGAGAATAGATTACTTCTTGAACTTTAGTTACCGGTTGAACTTTGTAATTTGAGCTTAGGGCATGGATATTTTTGTATGGTTTAAATAACTTTTGTCAAAAAATTTGATCAAAAAATTCAAATTGATATGAAAAAAACAAAACCACTAATTTATGTTTGTTTTTATCTTAGATAGGGATTTAAACAACTGTAAACATTCTCAAATCTTTGAAAATCGGATGGGGTGCTCCCACTTTCCATTTTCTTACACAGTAGTTTCCACAAAAACTAGCTTGAAAACGAAAAGTAAGAACAGTTTGTTAGTTTTTGTATTTGCTTTGAATAAAAAAATTCAAACTTCAATTATCAATTCAGACTAAATTGCAAAAATCAAACAATAAAATTTCAGTTTCTGAATTCAGTTCAATTCAATTGAGACTTAAAATGAATTCAATTTGATATGCACAAAACTGCTCGTATCATGGAAGAGACCGCCTATAAGTTTCTGACTGCCTATTTAGATCTAAGGAATCAGTTATCTTTTCAAAAGATTAAAAAATTATTAAAAGTTAAAATATTTTTCAAAATATGATTTTTTTCAGATTTGTTATTCATCAACCCTCAAAGTAAAAGTTATGCGACTAGCGTACAGCAACGTTTTACTAGTTCAACATTGCTTGCCTCATTTTGTACTGGAACTATTTCTCTCAGAATAAATTTCCTTTCGCTCGTTGATAGATTGAAATATATCGCGCATTTATTGTCCCAAATTAGACAAATCGTCATTTTTAAAACCATAGTTTTGCGAAAAAGATCAAATTTTTGGTGATTGGTGCCAAAGGTGAGTTTGAAATGTATGATTTTTTTAGAAGGTTTGATTCAGACTGAAACCCGGTCTGATTTGATTGTTTTGCTCAAAAACAACAGGAAAAAATAACACAATAATTATTGTTATAACACAATAAGTTCCAGACTGAGATTTTTTTGTTTCAACCGTTGAAAATGGGGAGGAGCTGTGTGTTTGGGTGTGTTTAACTTTTGTTTCTGTTTTCCAGGCAAAATCAGGTACCTCAAATAATCATCCGACTGGATTGAATGATAATGATGCCATTATGGTAATCAAAATCTGCGAAAAATATTGAAAAAAACTTTGATTTTTTTTGATTTTTTTTGTTTTTCAGATCATTTTCCTTCAAAATTGTTGTCCTATGTTAGCTGTTTGCCTATGTTACTATGGTTGTCGAATACGCCTAAAATATCGTTTTATGTCAGATTTTTTTATCAGACCATGCAGAAAAAGCTACACTAATTTGAAAAAAGTTTTAGGTAAATTTTTAAAGCAAGGGTGGAAAATTCTGTGATACTTGCACAGTAACCGGCTATTCTTGTTAAGTTTTAAAATCTTAGATGCCTCAGCAAAATTACAGTCAGTTTTGACTGATCAAGTCTTCTTATAATTTTTAAATTGCTTTCCTAAGAAGAACTTGAGAACTGAATTCAGAGCTGATAATTTTTTCGCTCAAATAATCATATTCACTCAGCTTAACTGAAAATGTTTTCATGCGTTGATAAACATTATCCTATCGCAAGGTTGAGAAAAAATTAGATTTTTTGAATCACAAAACATTTTTAAGTAACGCCTGCAGCTTGAAATGGTTTTTTAGTTCAATGTTTCCTCAACCGCCCTTTGGAAAGATATTTTATCAACGTAATTTGAAATTAAGATTGTTTAAATTAACATTTGAAAATAGCAGTTGAAATTAGGATGATTGGATTTGAACTTTCGAGCATAAAATTCATTTTCAGTCCTCGAAATCGTTAAAAGCAAGCAAAACGGCCACTCATAAAATCTCCAGTGAGGTTTTTGCAAATGTCTGTCTGTTTACGAAACGTTTTCTTGAAAGGTTTTCTAAAGATGTTTTGCTATGTTCAAGCCGTCAATTGATTTTTTTATTGAACCGCAAAAACATCGCCTAATGGAAAGCTTAAGTCTCTCTATTCACAGCAAGTGACAGTTTGAAATATCGCGAAACAACTTAAGAAAAACATACTCCAGAAAACCAGATATAAACCGACATTAACAAAGACCCCCCCCCCCCCCTAATTGAAAAATTAGGTTTTCTAAGTAAAGAACCCCGTAACTGATTCAGACAGCATTTTTTGGATATCAATATTGATTTAGGTTTCGAAATAAAATAATATCTTTAGTTTTGATCTTTTTAAACTTTTTTCTACATTTTACTTTTTGTTCACGTATATGCTTTACTTTGGTTCAGTGATCAAAGCATTTTCAAATAAAAATTGACAATTGATGCAGTTTCGCAAGTTAGATTTTATAATTTTTTAAAGCTGAAATATATAGCTAATAAATTCATTTTAAGAGTGGGTTCAATCGCTACGAACTAAAGTAAATTTATCGTAGTTCTGGTCTATGGTTTGCTGGTTATATTCACACAAATGTCTCAAAGTTTTGATTTGAAGTCACTTTCAATTATGCGCATTCCTTTTTCCCTAAAAGGTTGAAAGACTAACGAGTCTTCTGGGAGTCTTTTTGTTGCTCTGCACCATATGCACAAGTCAGTCATAAATCAGGGTTGAAAAACAACAAACAGAAGTAAACAAAAGTGAAAAGTGTTGTGATGTAATATTTCAACCCTAGCCAATGAAAAAATTAGCCGAAGAAGGTTCAAGAAAGCATGAAGATTGAAGCTGACAATAATTTGAAGACTATTTTGAAAATTGACATTATTATCCCATGACAAACATATCTGGTCTTCATACTTAACCTTCTAAAACCCCTCGTTACACCATAAAAATGATGCTCACGTGAAATGTGGAGGGGGGGGGGTTATGAGGGGAGGAAAAGAGCCAACGCACTATAAATGTAACATTCTCTCCAACAAATTTTTCCAAAATTAAAAATCTAATCGCTCGGCAATTTGGGCTGATTACATTTGTCGACCTTTGTTTTTTTGGACGCATTTGTGTACTTTGCAACCTTGTAGAAAAACATAAAAATTTTAGATCATTCTTGCTTTTTGCTGACCTTTTCTTATGAAATCAAAGCCTCAAGGCCCGCATATGGTGCGACAGAAAAGAACATTTATATGTCCATATAATTATAATAACTGCTTCGGGCTATTTTGGTACCAAAATACGCATTTGGCTTGTTTGGCAATGGAAAAATTTAAACAAATTAACAAAAATAAATATCTGTCCATGAAATTTAAAAAAATTTGAATTGTATCCGGAATAAATAAAAAAATTTAAAAACCGACACTATATTCAATCAGAACAACAAAAGAAACATCGTGGGTATCAAAATGTTGAGAATGGACATCGTTTGATGGTTTAAAATGGAATATAACTCGAGCAACTCAGTCTGATTTTGAGACCCAACTTATTGAAATTCCAGACTAAAGATTTTCTCAATACTTCCGATTCACAGAAGTGACAGAATAGAATTACGATACGTTACAGACGATTAGTAGCATTTTATTTTTTTTTCGGCTGTTTTGTGGCACTTTAAAATCTTATGGAAAAACATTATGATTCTGGAACATTCTCGCCGTTTTGCTGGAAGCGATCTGACTTTTTATATGGAATCAAAGAAAGCCATAAGACCAGCCTATGATGCAGCAGAAAGGGGATTTTTATATGCCAATATAGTTCCTATAATAGCCTTGAGCTATTTTGCGAGCAAAAACGCCAAATTGTTTCGTCAATGAAAAAATTCAAAATAACTACCAATAATTATGACCTGCACTCTTTATTTAGTTTGTTTTCAGCAATCAATTTCAATGAATTTGGTTAAATTCCATTTGACAAGTTACGTTTTTTGGGTCTTTTCATCAGGTTATTTTCTAATTTAAAAAAAGTTAACTTACTTGTTTTTCAAAGTTAAGTTTTTTTTTTGCTTAGGTCTGCAACGCTAAAGTAGATTTGATAGCCTTTCAGTTATCAAAAATCTAATCAAAACAACTACACTACAAAAAAATTAATCAAGTGGTTACAAATAAATTCTTCTAATGCAAATTAACAAGACTGCTCATATCAGGGTGAAGCTCTGAATGTTCCAACTGCCTTTTAAGGTCTATGGAGCAGTAAACAGATAAAAAAAATAAATGTAAAAAAAATAATAAGAAAAATATTTATTTAAAAATTGAAATTTTTTGTGAAAATCAGCCCCCCACACGCCATTTAAAGTACAAAAGGATTTTGCTCCTTTTAACAAATCAATTATGACAAATGAGCTTCTTTCACCCAACCCGGGTAACCAAAACTTCTTATACAATTCCATGCAATTCCATACCTACAGAAAATTGTATTAAAACTCTTTGATAAGCATTTTTCCTTGTATGAAAACTGTATGAAGAGCCTTTGTCCATAAACCAAAAAATGTGACTTTATTTCTGAAGTTAATTTCTGAAATTTTTTTGCTTAATTTCGTAACCGACCGCAGGTGAAAAAGACCTTGGTTTACTCAAAGCACCAAAGGTTGGACGGTCTTGCTTTTATAAATCGTAGAAAACCACCGAAATCGTCTTAGAACTGTCTTCCAAAAATGATATCACGAAAAAAACAAACTTTTCAATTTGGCAAAAAATTTCAACGTTGATTATTTTTGAATATGATTTTTCAAATTATCAGCTATTGATCAAAGCATACGTAAGCATGCCATTTTGAACGAAAAAAATCAATTATTAGTGTATTCAGGACTACGTTATGCACACAAGAGTTTAAATTTTGCACGCAAAAAATTTTAGGAAAACGTTTTTTTGAGTACAAAATTCGATTTTCTGTTGAAAAAAAAACAAAAAAATTTTAAGGAAATTTCAAATTACTTTGAAATTTTTTTTGTGTCGCCATCAAAACAATGCTAGTCATACAATTACCATATTTAGGAATTGTATGATTTCCAAAAACAAAACCTCAGTTTTTCATCACCAGGCTGTTTTATTAGCATTAGACAGCCTCAGAAATTACTTTCTGTCTTTTTCAACCATTTTTCGAAATTTTTACTTGGTGTATGGAATTGTAGGATAAGCTTTTTCGGCGTATGGGGGTCAACCCGGGAATTTGGATCGATATCTAAGACGTGTTAAATCTCGCTCACGCGTTAATAGCGCGAATTATTTGGCCAATTTGGCCAAAATGGCCATCTTTAAACCCCCATAACCTTAAAAAAAAAAATCACAGGTCAAACATTTTTTCAAATTAACGCTCAGAACAACAATACCTTTGAAAGATAATCAAAAATCCCGTCAAAAATGGATAGTTAAAAAGTCGAAATTTGTCTGAAGAAAAAAACCCACCCCGAGCACAAATATTCCGTAACTTTTGGTACGAAAGTCGGAAAAATAATTGATTTTGACAACGCTTGATTACTTTTATGCAAAGATGGCTGTTTTGGCTACATTTATTTTTAACCTCAAGATTTTCGAAATTACAATTAAAACAGATGCTAAATATAATTTTGAGTGGTGTAGATGTAGCATCTTACAAAAAGTATTCAATTGGTGTCAAAGTCAGTTCTGCTAATGCAAATATTAATTTAATTTGACAAGTTATGGCATCAATATTGATGCTTTCACCTTCGCTTTTGCACTTCAACGATTGATTCGCAACCTAAGTCTTTGTTATCAAATAAGTATAGCTTCTTCTGAGCTAACAATAAATAAACTTGGTCTGAAATTTTTTCTAAAGTCTTTTGGATGCATATGCACTTGCAAAAATCAAAAATGATGGATTTAGTGTCAAAACAGCTAATTAGAAAAGGTCATTTAAAGTAGTAAAAATGCTACATTCAAACAAGTTTATAGCTGTTAGTTTTCAACGCTGAAATTGATAACAGAAGTTATCTGCAACAAAAAAGGTCATTACTTTAAAAGAATGCATCGAGCAAAATTTTTGAATTGTAGTTCTAAAAGGGATGTAGTAAAAATACCGGGGCGGAATTAAGAAACGGAAGGAGGGGAAAAGCGCTCAGTTTTTTTTCAGAAATCCGATCTCTTAGCTACGTAAGGCCCCTTTGGTACTATGCCTTCTTCTACGACCGATCCGTTTGAGTTTTTGTTCAAAACAGTCAACAACGCCAAAGTAACGGAGGCGGATCAATAATTTTCTCGAGGAAGGGGAAAATTTTAACTTTCCAACTTTTTTTAAGTCGACCAAATCGACTTTCCGGATTCTCAAAGTCCCTATTTTGACCAAAAGTTATAACCCTGTTTTTAATTACAGGTAAAAAACTAATACATTTGGTGTTTTTTGTATATCTAGAAACAGCAGTGTGGTTCTGCATTACAATTAACCCCGTGCCGAACGAAACCGGAGAAGTGGTGTTGTTCCTGCTGACTCTCAAGGACATAACTTCCACTAAAATACCCCCGGATGAAGAGGGCAGCCGGAGCATGGGGCGCATCGCCAGACTGGCCCGCACGGTGAAAAAGGGCAAGGGTAATGGCAATTCAACGGGGGGAGGCACTATTGGGGGTAATACTAACTCAACCGGAGGGGAGGGGGCTTCAATGGGCGGCAGCACAGTTGAACGATTCAGTCCAAAATCGACCAAATCTTCATTGGTCAGTAAAGTTTTGAGTTTTAGAATCATATCCAATAAAAACTGTTCTGCCTGTTGGAACTTTGATATTTATGTTTGCTGTTTAAGAAGTTACGGAATATTTGCGTTCGGGTTGGTTTTTTCTTCAGACAAAACTTGACTTTTGAATGAGCCAATTTTGACGGAACTTTTTAACACTCAAAAATTGTCATGCCTCGAGCTTTACATAAAAAAATTGGTATAAGACCGTTTTCCGTAAATTTATGGAGATCTACAAATTAACGATTTATTTAGCCAATTTAGTATGAATAACGCTGATGAAAGGTTAATCATTAGAAAAAATTAACTCATTAAAAAATAGGTGCAGGTGAAGCTTTCAGAGCATTGCTTTGATGCGAGTGGTACTGTCTTCGAAGCTTGGTAAAGCAGGGAAGCTGAAAAAGAGCCAAAGTTTTATGCCATCAGACAACAATTGAAGGCTTGATCTCAAAATTAAATTAAAAGTTATGCTCGGTCGTTTGAAATTTGTCATTTTAGCCAATTTGGTTTAAACAGATGCGCACGAAGATTAGAGACTGTAGCATTCAACAAATGGTTCTGTCTCAAAACTTGCCTCAAACTAAAACTTACTTATTTCAAATTTGAGTTTATGTAACTATTTAGACTGGTGTCTCAGCTCTGATTTGTGTGACTTGTGTTATTAAGCAGCATCAGAAAAAAATTGGATCATTCAAAAAGTTTTGTGTCCTAAAAATATGATTCGCTCAAAAATATATTGTAGTTAGCTTGGAAATAAAAAACATTCTAAAACCACAAAAAAAAACAGAAACGTTTAAAAACTCGAAGATTGTTGGCATTGTTGCATTTGATCGTTTTTTAATTAATATTTTTTTGTTTTTCAATTTACCGGGTTCTACATAAATAGCAAGGCTCTACATAATATTTTGCCATTCAGTTTAAACTTTGGGCAATATTTTTGTCAGTTGTTTTTTTTCTACCAATTTTTATGAAGTTTGGGGAAATCCATAATCAATCAAAATTGAACTTTTATGTTGAAAATGCTGTTTTTGTTATAGTGTAAAGCAGGAAGTTTAAAAGAATTTTTTCAACTAATAAACTTTCAAGTTTCGTTTTTAATTAACTTACATCAGCTTTCTTGACATATTTGCCCCTTAAGAAAGATAGAAATTGAAAAATACTAGAAATTGCCATTACTCGAACAAAAAAGTCATCGTAAAAAAAAACTTTTATTGTGGAGGTGTTTTTTGTGTTAAGTTGTATTTAATTGCTCGGTTGGCAAAAATCAATCACTTTTCTTGACGCCTTTCCCATCTTTATTCGCCCAATTAGCAAATGACCTGTTAAAAACTTTCTTTTTTTCTGGCCTAAAACATTCAATTTCACATCAGCTTTCACTAGATAATGTCAAAAGGTTTGAATTTTCAAAATGCAGCTCGAGTCAATAATTATTTAAAGTCTTGGAGAATCAAAGATTTTTAACGCAAGACTCTATCTGAAATTGATTTACAGTATCGAATTTTGGTCAAAATGTAAAACTCCAAAATGCACACATCTTTCTTGGCAACGGAGTATTTGTCATCGAAAATTTTTTGTTTTGACTTTCGAAGAAAGAATGGAATATTTGTGTTTAGTGTGCGATTTTCCTGCAAACAAGTTTCGTCATTATTACTCACCACTTTGAACGTAATTTTAAAATCAACTGAAAAGTTTTGATGCCCTCGGCTTATTTCAAAAACTACAATTTTTTTTTAAATAAATTTTATAGTGTTATCATTTACAATTTGAATACTTTGGGGATGTTCTTGCGCGAAACCTTTCGTGCTTTTGAACAGTACGCGGCGTTTCAAGCCCAGCTTGGAAATCATTTCAAATAGAAATGATGCTATCCATTTTGACTTACCAATTTGTTGCCATACACTAATTACATCACTGTCTTTTACTAAGCGTGTTGGGGAAGATTTTCAAAAACAGAATCTGAAAAAAAAACTTTTTTTGAAACTTTTTTCATATGTTTAGATTGAAAAATAATTCCGTGATTTTAAACCTTAAGAGGTAGCTGGAACGTTCAGTGTTTTGTCCTGGTACGATACGTCCCAACTAGTTTGATGGGATATCCTATAAAAATTGGATCGGAAAAATTTTGTATGCTGTTTGCAAAATGGATCTGACTGTATGCTGTTTGCAAAGAGAATAGGTTCTGTTTGACTCTCCTCCACTCATTAAAATTGAAGATCATTTTGCAGAATTGTCTAATCTCGTAAAATTGGAATGAACTGTTTGCCGTTCATCTAGATTGCTTAGGATATCTCAAAGTCAAATTGGCTGAAATGTCTCAATTTAAATTGGCCAAAGTCACACAACTTATTTAGGCCACAACGTCTCAAAATAAATTTGTCCGAAGTGTGTCCTCTTCGCCTGAAATGTTTGAAAACAGACACGTTGGTAGTGGTGACATCCTATATTGCATAAATGTCACTCGATATGATCTTTAGAGTTTACTTATTTCTAATAACAACTTTTCTTCATATTACTTGTTACATATTTTAAATCGAAATCCTACCAGAAAAAAACTCAACTACACTTTTTGTATCGGGCCGAAGCCAGTTTCGAGTGTTCCCACAACTCGTTAAGATCTAAGCAACAGCTTTTTTGTTGAAACAAAAATATAAATTGATAAAATTTTTAAAAGAAGTGAAAATTCTAAATATGTTTTTATATTGAAAAAAATATACCCCCTCACGCTCTTCAAGTTGCAAATTGATGCTATTAGCGTCTAGCAACTTTTTAATAGTTCACACTTTTTTGCTATAAATCAGAATGTAAAGATTTCTTAGACTGATGAAGTAGCCGTTTACGCTTTAGAAGAACAAAACATCACGCGAGAATTGTCTCAGTTGGACAAAAATCTTCACAATAAGTTACTTCAGTATTTTTGCCCTGGCAATTAGCAAGCGTTACTGAATCGGAATGCAAATTTTTCTGGTAAACAACTAGTTTAACAAAAATCAGTTGAATCACTTGACATGTTCATTGCTCTTCATCTGACATACTCTTCAGTTGACATACTTCTTTTTCATAAAAATTCAATTTTAACTGCTGGCTGCATACAAGTTACTACAGGGTAGTTTCACGACTTGAATATTTTGAATCTTTCATAGAACTCCTATGTGATAAAAACAGATTTTATGAAAGTGAATGGGTTTTTTGTTTTTTATATTTTCGAGGCGCTTTGGAAACTTTTAAAACTTTTGCAAAAATACTGTTTTTCTTTCTATAAAAAACCTTTCTACTGATTTTCAAAAAAAGGATATCCATAAAAATACCGTCTACATTTTTGAGTGACTGCATGCTCACCTGGTCTCTTTTTGCTTTCCATTTTGTCGACAGCCTTCGAAAAGGTCTGTGATGAAAATATTTGATTGAAGTTTTCGACTTATTTTATGTTTTCTCAAAAACTAACCTACCAAATCTGAGACTTTGATTTTAATGAAAAGAATGGGTTTGAAAATCTCCTCTCCATATGCGGCTACGACCACACTTTTTTTACACATAAAACTGAGGCACCTGGATTGATCCATTTTTTAATTTTGATTGACCGTTTTTTGAATCTTTTTTTAAAAATTTTCTCAAAAACTAACATCTCACCCTGAGATTGTGGGTTCAGTGGAGATAACGGGTGGTGGGCATTAGCGGGCCACTCCCAGTTTTTTTTTACCTGAAAAGTTTTTGTTCTCGGGAGAGTCAATTTTTTGAGTTTTTGAGCTTTTTTTGTAAATTTTATAAATCTTACCTAAAAATATCATCTGAGATTTTGGATTCAATCTAAAGAAGTGGTTGTGGGAAAACTCTTTGCGTACGCGATTAAGCCCGACTTTTTTGACACAAAAGTTTATGGCCCTCGGAAAAATTAAAGTTTTGATTTTTGGATCATTTCTTAAAAACGTTTGCCTTTTCTCGGGAGCTATCCTAAAAAAAATGAGTATTTTTGGTTCAATCAAAATTACAGGTTGCGTGAATTTCTTCTGCATAAGCTACTCATCGCAAGTTTTGTTACACAACAAGCTATGATTCTCGGAATTGTTTTATTTGTTGATCGTTTTTTGGACTTCTCTCGATAACCATCCTACCAAATCTGATATCATAGGTTTAAGCTGAGTGCTAGGTGTCCCTTATCGAGACATACGAAAATTTTTGTTCACAAAGTTTTCTTATAATTTTTTCATTTTTATTTCGAATCATCCTTTTTTATTATTGTGTTGTATCGCAAATAGAGCGCAGCTCCACTTCGCCTCTGTGTTTGATAATTGAGCCCAGGAGTTCAATACTTTTCAGATGGTATTAAAAACACCGTTCAAATTGCACGTTGCATCAAATGTTGAAATTTGTCTGAAAAAAAACACCAAGCAGAAATATTCTATCTTTTCATAGAAAGTCGGAACAAAATGTATAGCAATGGCTCACTGCTAAAAAAAAATGAACGTAATGACATGAATACTTAATGGTGCCCGACCGCTGGTAGACTCAAAATTTGTGACTCAAAACTCTACTCGAAAAAAATATTAATTCGACTATTTCACCAAGTGAAATTGAGGATTTACGGCGTGTGGTGTGTTTTTATTCGAAGCATCAGGTCTACCTCACAGAAAGCTCGTAGAGGATCTAAATTAGTATTATAACAAATTCTATCAGCATTAACTGGGATTTTAAAAACTTATATTAAACAAGACTGCTCATATATCAGGGCGAAGCACTGAAGGCTCCGACTCTTCTTAAAGAACAATTAAAAAAATTTGATTGTGAAATTGAAATAAACATTAAAAAGTAAAGAGTAAAGATCTTTTTTTTTTCAGTTTAGTTTCAATTATCCCCTTTCAAGCTATACTATAAAAAAATATGATAAGAGAAAAGTTTCGTCAAAAATACCTCGTTAAAAAACCGAAAATTGACTGAATAAAAAATATCAGCCCAAGCTTGAATATTCCGCGCTTCCTTCGAAAGTCGGAACAATAATTATGGTACTTCTGATTGGTGTTGTGTTGTGTTTAGACAAATGGGAATGAGTTGCCGAGGTACATGTTGGAGCCCCCCAAGACACCCCCTCGCATCATCCTACACTACAGTGCCCTGAAGACCACTTGGGACTGGACCATACTAGTGCTCACTTTCCACACAGCCATCATGGTAACTAAACCAACCCCACTCCCACCCCCATCTCCCACCCCCACCCTGCCAAACATCCCCCTCCCCCCCCCCCACAAACACCCCAACCCACCCCCACCCTGTCAAGCAGTTTTTTCATCACAATGCTGATTTGACGGAAAATACATCGTGCGCAAAAATTTTGTCAGCCAATCAAATTTCAGCATTCAGGAATTCGAAAGAAATAAGCGATGAAATCTGTCAATTTTGGACCGTTTAAAGGGCATTGATTGGCTGAGAACTTTCGCGCATTCAATCATTCGCGTAAGAGTCTCTAAAATTAATTAAATCCCAATTTTTGGGGCAAATACCTCATCTCAGAAAGACAAAATTTTTTGAAACCTATTCGTGTCTGATCAGAATTCAATGTTCAAAATTTCTTGAGAAATCATTGAAACTCAGTGAGTTTTGGACTTTTGGAACTTGGACAGTTTAGGAGGAAGATTTTTAGCGCCTAGGATAACATATACAATAACTTACAAATAACATTACCCCCCCCCCCCCCCGTTCCCCACTCACATAATTCGCTCTATGTCGTGCAATATCAGCTTTTGCCTGTTTTAGGTACCGTACAAATTAACCTTCCTGAAAGATGTCGAAAGAGACTTAGCGAATCCGAACCAACTTGTCCTCTTCATAACCGACACTCTGATTGACGTCGCTTTCTTCATCGATGTCCTCTTAAATTTCCATACGACTTATGTGGGCGCGATGGAAGAGGTGATTTCGGATCCGAAGTTGATTCGGTGGAACTATTTGAAAAGTTGGTTTGTCATTGACATGTTATCCTGTGTGCCCTACGACGTGTTTGACCTCTTAGCTTTCAGCAGCGCCACCGCTGGACAGTCTACAGGGGTTAGTAAAGTTCATTCTGAAAAAAAAAACATAACAAAAAATTTTAAACATCTACTCCGTCATTTTAATTTTCATACCGCCGCTTTTTATTAAACAAATTTCATTTTTGAAAATATTTTGAAGCGCGCTTAATATGATTGAGAGGGTTTGTGTTGTTGTTTTTAATTCGTCGGCAAAATTTAAGTGTGTTAATTCGTCGGCACTGTGTTGTTTCTTCAGTTTATATCGCCAGGACTAACAAACAATTCAAAATTGTTGATAATTCATACTTGAGATTAAAAAAATCACTTCCGCTTTTAAGGAAGAAATATAAAAGAAAAATCCTCTCAATCTTTTTAAATAAAAGTGAAGAAGAAAGTTGATAAATGAAAGTGGTAGCAACAAACAAAGAAAAACAAAAAACGAAACGCTTGTTTTGTTTAAAATAGCTGATATCTTCAAATTTAGAAAATTATTCAGCACTGTTAAAAACAAAACGAAATATCAAAAAAGCTGAAAAGTCTTCCTTTTCTGCCGCTGAAGCGTTTCTTCGTCTTGTAAAAGTTATGCATGCATAAAAACTATGACAAAAAAAGCTTCATTGACAGAAAACAAAAGTTTTTCAGCTCTGTTTGGGATTATTATTGTTTTTAAAAGAGCTAAATAATTTTCTAAATTGAAAACCCAACTTCTTTAAACAAAGCGGTCATTTCAATTTTTAGAATTATAATGATAGCAAAAATCCACTGAACTTTCAATCCACTGAAACAAAACTTTCAATAAACTAAAGCGACTGTTGTGATAATTGTCTCGGCGCTTTCCGGAACGATCAGTCCATTAAAAAAATCCAAAATGAAAAAACTGAACTAAAACCAAAACAATAACAAAAATTAAAACGCTTTTTGGGCCTGCTTTGTCAAAAATTTGCCTGTCGCGTAGAAAGTTTTGACAAAATAAAGATTTTACATTTTTCTGGGAGCGCGAAAAAGTCAGAAAGATCACAAAAATGGTTATTCAGCAATTCAAATGCAATTCCGAGATCTGCCTTTGACTTGCGCAATTTCTTTTTGAGATCTTTCTTACCTTTTTGCGGCTTTACAAAAACTGCTGAGCAATTTTCTCTCCACTCAAAAAAACTCTGAATTAAAGAACCAAACAGAAGTTTTTTAATCGACTAAATCATTTTTGATACTATTAAAAACGGAAAACTTCAATCAACTGAGCTCAAAACGACATCTAGTTCATTAAATTTTTAAATTTGTAACAACTACTTGTGATCGGAACCGTTTCAGCTGCATGCACACATGAACAATGGTGTTTTTTTCACAGGTAGCAGACGCGTTCAGTACTCTGAAAATAATCCGACTGTCTGTTCGAGTGTGGCGAGTGGCGAGGAAGAAGGACCACTACTTGGAGTATGGGGGTGCTCAATTAGTCATCTTCATGTGTGGGTTCCTTCTGGCCGCCCACTGGTTCGCCTGTGGATGGTACATCATCGGACACTTCGAAATCAACCTGCACTACGGGTGGCTCCAGGTACCTTTTTCCAAGTTTTTCAAATTCGAAGGAATGGCCTATTTTTTCTAAATTTATCACACCCAAAAAATAACCAAAAAACAAAGTAACTACTAGTAATGCTTTAATTAAGTTTGCGTCAACTTTTTGGCGCTAATCTTTTCGGAGAACGAATTTGAGCAAAATTTATTTATGTTAAGTTGCGCAGTTTGACACCGGCAACCATTTTTTGTTGCTAATTTCACGCGTAGAAACAAACTTCAGATATTTAATTGCCTCAGACTTTTTCAAATTTGATTCTTTTTTATTGACGTCTAACATTTTATTGATAAGTCCAAAACTCTATTTGCCACGATTTCTGAGCGGGATCAATTCAACGCTTACACGTTAAACTATCATCACACTGAATACACTGCATATTAATTGTCCAAGTTGGAAAAACTGACAATTTTCAAACTCTCATAACCTTACGAAAAAAATCACAAGTGAAATATTTTTTTTTATTTTCAGCTCGGGACAACAATACATTTCAAATGACGAAAAAAATTCCATCGAAAACTTCTAGTTGAAAATTGATTTTGTCTGGAGAAAAAACGCGACAAAAGTCATTTTTGTTTCGATTGCAAACGTGTCGTTGCCGAGAGAAATGTTTGGATAATGGAGAATATATTTTGCTCAAAATTGAATACTGTAAATCAAATTCAGATGAAGTCTTGTATTAAAAATCTTTGATTCTCTTTATTAATCAATGACTCGAGCTGTGTTTTCAAAAAACAAAACATTTTGCCTTGTTCTAGAATGTGAAATTGAGTGTCTTTAGGCCTTAAGAGAGACAGTTTTTAACAAGTCATTTGCTAATTGGGCAAAAAAGGCGTCAAGCTATCTAATTGATTTTTTGCCAACATTGGAATAAGGTGAACATTAGCACAAAATTTCCTCCACTCTAAATGTTTTATTACGATTACTTTTTTCTTAGATTAATTGCAGCTTCTAGTATATTATCGTTAAACTTTGATTTCTTTTTTCCTAAGGCACAAAACCGTCAAGGAATCTGATCGAAGCTAATTAAAAACGAAACATGAAAAATTATTGTAAAAAATTTCTATTTTACACTATAACAAAATTTTTTCAGTTCATCAAATCAATTGTGATTGATTATGAATTGATAGCATGATTTTTGAGACAATTAGTTTGCAAACTTCTTTAAAATTAGTAAGCAAAATCAACTGAAAGTTTTTCTTCTGATGAACAGGATCTCATTTTGGAGAAAAAAAGTTGGCGCAAAACTTGAACTGAACCACAAAAAAATTATGTAGAGCTTTGAAGTTTTTTTTAAAAATTTTTGGTTATTTTTTATTAGTTGTAATACCAAAGCTAGTGAATGCTCTTTTTCAGTAATTAACGTGCCAAAATTTTAATTGTTTATAGAATTGAACAATTAGTGAATTGGTTAAGATAGCTCGTAAACTTAAATTCCAGTCATGAAAAATAGTTGATTTGTCAGCACAAAAATTGCACCCGTTTTGACATTTATGACAGAAAATTTGACTTGAAAAATTTTTTTCTTTTGTATCCGAAAGCTTCAAAACAAAAACATTGGTCACTTCTGAAAATTGATGTTATTCCAATATTTTTCAAATTCCATTAAAAATTTTCCGCTGATATTTTTTCAGGTTGCATGCTCAAAAGGAGCTCATTTAAGAAAAAACTCTAATAAAAGTGGCTAATTACTCTTGCGAAGCGAGTGTATTAGTACAAACGTTCTTTTTTCTACGTCCTATGTCGCAAATACTGGTGTCATTTTTGGGGCACCTGTACAGCTTTTTGATAGCATGTGCTTTGACATTCGAGTAGTAATAAATTAACACAATTGATGAATTTTTAATGCATCAATTGAACAGAAAAAAAGTATTTGTTTCAAACAACATCTAATTATTAAAAACTCGATTTTAGAAATTTTCTAACTGAAATGCATAGTTTATACATATTGTGGTTTTATTCTTTGCAATTTGTTATAAACAAAGTTAGTGTGGATGCCTTCAGTTTGTTATCTTCTAAATTCTTACTTGCGAAATTGAGTTTATTTGTATATGGTGCCATTTTTGCTGAATTGCATTGGCAATTTATAAGCATATGTAGCTGCTTTACTGATGATAAGTGTTTGTCGGCTGTTAAGCTTCCGTGGCTGAGACAATTGTGCGTGAGACTGGAAATCTCTTGATTGCAGGAGGTCGCAAGTTCGACTCCTATACGTAGCCGAGTTTTTGCTAATTCGAGGCTTATTTCTATTTTTTCTTATTTTACTTGATGGAGCTGCTTTTTGGTCGTGTTCTCGCAAGTAATTGCGAAGCACAGCTTCGGTTCTGTGTTAAAAAGTTTGAATTCGACGCAAAACTTCATCGAGAACAACATTTCTATCTTTTCTTCGAAAATTGGACCAATCAAAGAAAATACTCAAAGAATTGTAGAAAAAGGAGCTATACAAACGAGGTTAAAAGAGTTCAACATTGTTTGGTTTTAGAAGAAAGTGAATGAATAATTGTGCTTGGAGTGTTCTCAATTCTCCAGGCAAAATTCGACGTTTTTTTACAAACAATTTTTGACGGAAATTTTTTATGCAATCTGAAAAATATCGGCTCAATCAACTTATGCAATCTAAAAAAACTCTGAACTCACAATTTTTTGTGGCTTTTTTGTAAAATCATAGGATTTTAGAAATGTTCGGATACCTAATGCCTGATATTCACTATTTTTTTTTATTTACAAAAATTAAATAATTTTATTTAATTATCGTGTTGTTTTGATTCGACATTCGAAAAGTGAAGTAATTGTTGTTCTCGTGGTGTTTTTGTTCTCCAGAACAATTTCGATAAATTCAGTAGCAATATCTGACAAAAATTTATATGCAGACTTAAAAACGCTGCCTTGAGCTCAAAATAAAAAAATCACCTCCGAGCTTTTTAGAAAAGTATTGCGGATTTGAATACTGCCAGTTGCATTAATTTTGAATAATTAAAACCCGCTATTTGCGAGAATTTTTAAGGCTCAGAATTTATTCCAAGTTGAATAGAGACAAGGTACCCGGAGTAAATGCCTGCTTACTACCGGCCGTAAGGTTCAATCAAAAGTCTGTTTTCCACTCAAGTTTATAGACCAACCACAAAAATTGGTCGAACATTGTCGATATTTAAGTCGACCGATGTGCTTACCTTAGCAAAACAGCTTATTTAGTTAATAGATTTTTTTCTACACAAAATTTTGCTCAGCAAAATATTCACAGAGATTCGTTCTAAGTATTTTTAATGTTTAAACGCGGTAGGTGCAAAATAACACCCACACAAATCATCAAATTGAGGATTGTACTCAATTTTTTGCGGAACAACATAACAGCAGAAAAAATTTTATATTATAGAAACCTTTAATCAAAGAAAAACCCCAATTTTTTAAAGAAATTGCTCACACTAGCGGGCGACTATGAAAAACATAAATTACTCGGTTAGGTCGACTGAAATCGAACCGAGTTGAAAAAAAATCAAGTTTTTGAGTGAGTTTCACACAAGAAAGGCGTCAATATTTTTAGCGGTTGTAACCAACTAAAATAGAGAGACCTTATTTGACCTTTGACCTTTGGGACTAATTGACTTGACCGGTTTGATTAGGTTCTAAGTGAGGAGATTGGGGAGGAGCTTCGGTTCGAGCAGAAGCGGATAGAGAGCAAGGACATCTCCACCGTCTACATATCATCCCTGTACTACACCATCAGCAGCATGACCTCCATCGGATTCGGAAACATATCGGCCAACACCAACATCGAGAAGATATTCACCATCTTCATGATGATAGTCGGAGGTACTAAACACACGTTATAAATATGATAATTAACTTACCCCCCCCCTTCCCCATACACCCGAATAGTTACTCTTCCCGTGTTCCCCCATCCCTGGTAAAATCGAGAAAATATTCACTATCTTCATTATGATCGTTGGAGGTACTACATACAAATTATAAATAGCTCTTTTTCCTCCCCCCCCCCTCCACCTCACAGGAGCATCAATTTTTTGGCGTAACGAGTGGTTTTACAAGGTGGGTTATTAAGACCAAATATGTTTATCATGGCCTAATTAGTCTGCATATCAACTTTCATAATAATCGGGCTCTGTGAACAATAATTTTACTTGCAAGTGGGGATGAGGAAAAAAACCTTATAAATAGGCCAGAAGATCGAGTTTCTGAGCTCAAAAAATTGAAAACAATTTGCTAGTTTTTTTACTTTTTACTTTTCAATTGTTCAATTCAAGCGAAAAATATAAATAATTTTTGTTGTACGGAATTTTTGATCGAAAATTAAATTACTGTCATCAGTGACGAAGTTCACAAAAACACGCAGCAGAAACTCCCAGAAGTTCCCAACTCGTGAAGTTGAACAAAGGCGACAACTTGAAAAGTTTAATAATTATGACAAAAATGCAGAATTGGCAAACAAAAAACGCTTGATCCACAATTCTAGCGCTTGACACGAAGGGTATGTTTGCGCAAAAATGAGGCTTTGCCACTATTCTAAAATTCATTGTTCCAACTTTTAAAAAAGTGACTGAATATTTGTTCTTGGATTGGTGTTAATTCTCCAGACATTTTTGCGATGCTATAAGAAGTTTTGACGGAATATTTTTAAATTAAACAGTAATTTTTTGACCGCATTTTCATTCGAAACGTAATTTTGTTCTGAGTTCAAGTTTCAACAGATGTTTAAGTAACTTTAAATAAAAACAGTTATGCGGGTTTATAATTGCCAATTTGGCAAATTTGGGACAAATAACGTGCGATAAGTTTCGTGCCATTAACGCGTAAGTGGAGATTCAATCTGTCTTAGAAATCGTTTAAAATTGAATTGTGGAATGATATTTGATCCAGTTATTACTTTGATTTATGTTAAAAATATATGTTGTACTTAACACTTTGTGTGGGTATGGCTTTCAAAAAAAAATGGAAAGAAAACTAAATACGAAAAAATTTCAACAATTTTTTTTGAAACGAACACTACTCCATATACTTTAATAAGCAGTCGGAATATTCAGGGTTTCGGCCTGATACGAGCAGTTTTGTTTTGTTTACTATCAATTTCATTTTGTGAGATGTGTTTTGTTGTGAGCTGCGTTCTGATCATGTTTTTTGTAAATTCTCTCACTTCAGTACATAACTGAACTTAGGGATTTTTTTCGTTTTTCATCATGCAAATAATTTTTCAATTGTTTCTAGTACTGAATCACCAAAAAATGAAATGATCTTTTTTTATCAATAATTTTTTGCTGGCATGATATTTTTTGTGTTTTTGAATTTTTGCTCTACTGCATTTTTTATCGGAACAAACAAATGTAGCAAAAGGAAGTTTTGAACCAAAGAATCAAAACAAAAAATGTAATAACATACACAATAAAAATTATTAACAGATCAGAAAAATCAAATTTGGAAGCAGTAAAAATATTGAAAACAGAGGTCAAAAAACTAATCTGGACTCGAATAATTTAATACTATCAAGGTGTTTCTTGGAGCTCAGTTTGAAATTTTTTTTGCAGTAGATATCAAAATCAGAATTGATAAAAAACTTTAAAAGTTGCTTCCTTTTGTCAAAATTTTTCAAACTTTTGTGAACCTCAGGAATGATAGTTGACTGCGTGGTGGTTAATTTGAAATTAAAAAAGAATTGATAGTTGCAAAACATTTTATTTAGCAAAATACACACTTAAGAAATTAACAAACAAATTTGAATTATTTTTTCTCTCAAGTATTAATTTTTTGCTTTTGTGCGGGTGGTGAGTGCTATCCAAATTTAAATAAAAACTACCGTTTTCTATATAAACGAGTATTAATTAAAATAATCCAGATAACTTCATTGAGAGTGACTCTTGACTCTAATTGAAGTATTTTAAAATCTTTTTTCTTGCAACTGAGAAAATTTTGAGTTTTTGTTCTTGAAACACACCATGACTGAAAAGACTTTAAGATGAGATATCTTTGAAAATCACTTGACGTTTTAATGTGATACATGGTTTTGCGCGAAGAAAAAAAATTTAAAATGCTCTCGAAAACAAATTTCTGCTTAATTCGTTGTAAAAAATAAAACAGCTTGTAAAACAGAAAATGGAACGTTTTAGCATCTAAAATCGTTATGATGACTGTCTGAAACTTAAGTTAATTTACAAAACACAAAGATTTTCTGATATTTTCATAAAATTAGTGCCTTTTTAGTTCAGTTAACAGAAATCACCTTTTTAGTCTAGTTTTTTTCTGAGACAATTAGATAACAATATTACAAATGAAAACAAAAGCTTCTTAGCAATGTCGCAAAGCGCTCATAGGATTCAGCGACTAGTTATTTTCTTCTTGACATTTGAAAAACAATGGATTATTCCATTTTTTGCCTTCAAAATGCTAATGAATCAGAAAACGTCTCTACTAAAGTATTTTTCTGCTTCTGATTAGGAATAATAAGCATTCCGAGGGCTACCTGAGTTCACACTAAATCTACGTTTCTGAGGTTAAAATTTAGCTTTCATTTGCCTAAAATCATCGATCAAAGATGCTTTTATGTTTTTTCAAAGGAATCCCTTCAATTATTCTGACGAAAAACAACCAAAATATAAATAGAAAACAATCAAAAGATTCAGAATATTTTTTAGTTAAAAGGAGGAAACTAACTGAAAATGGGATGCTGTGTTTTGACCTCTACAATTTTTTGAGAATAATTAGTCGAATTTTCTGGTACATTTTGCATCCAATATGGCAATGTAAAAGCACTACGTGACAGCATTAAGCTAATTTCCGGTAGTTTCCGGGTTTTTGTTCAAGAATAGACGACTTTTATCTTCTAATTCATGTCCAGCTAATGCAGGCTAAATGTCAAACTGCCACCGAATTCTGAAATTTTAATCTGCAAACGAAATCCAATTAAAGTCAGATCCACATAACGTGGTATGACTTGATATGCCATCAGCTAAAAACTCTATCAAATCTTTCTCCTTAACATGCTAATAAATTTTTCGGTGATCACCTCTGATTGAAGTAACATAACTTGATTGTGCATTGACTTTCAGCAAATGTTTCGAATTTGGTTTACGGTGTCAATTAGCCTTTAAAAAGATTGATGAAAAAATTTGGCGTCAAATAAACTTAAGACAATATTTCAAACTTTTTTGGGATATTGCGACAAAAAACTACTTTTCAGGTTTGTTCATTAAATTTTTTTTGTAATTAGCAAATAATCATTGCAAACAATGTTTATGTATAGTGATTTTTTTCCGGTAAACAACTTTCTTCACATTTCGACTTAAATTGGAGCTCATCTCCTAATCTGTACTTTCGTCAACTAACAGATAAGTTTTGAACATGCTTGCATTTTAAATGCCCGTTTTATTCAAAATTTGTTTTTTGTTCCGACTTTCGAAGAAATTGAGGAAAAATTATGCTCAAGGTTTTTTTTTATTCAGACCGATTGTAGAAAAATTTATTGCTTATGGGCATTGATATGGAAATCTTGGGGTTGTCATGAGTGTATGTTCACACTAGGCTAAATGTGCGGCTTGACTGCTGGAATAAAGCGTTGAAGTTTTGCTTCAATGCGCAAATTATTTATGCATGGCAAATTATCTGAACTCATAACCGTTACAAATTGAATTGAGGCAAGCTAACTGATTCCATGAACGACTCAAATTTTAAGACTTTGCAATTATCAGCCTAAAATCCATAGTTTATCTACAAAAACTGTTCGAGGCAAATTAATGGGCTGTCGGAGCATTCAGGGTTTTGCCCTTATACGGGCAGTCTTGTTTTTGTTGATCCTAATTTGAAAAACATATTTTAATTTTAAGGGTTTATGCCCTCGTTTTTTCGGCTTTGTTACGCATGGTAGGTTTTTTCTGCGACTTAAAAGCTATCTGTATTGTATTGCAAGTGGAGCGAAGCTCCATTTCGCCTCTGTGCATATCCTGTCATAAACTATGGCGCGACCAGACAGCAGTAGTTTCAAGCTTTAGTTCATTATTTTAAACTTAAAAGAAACATCTTTTATTTTGTGCGTAAAATATTTTTCTAATAATCTATCTCAAAAGTTTTTCTTAAAAACCCTTCTTGTGGATAAATGCGTAACCTACAGTTCTAATGTTTCTAAAACTATTCTTGTTAGTCAAATACTATGCACACCAGTAAGCAGGTCCACTCCTTTCAGATTTAGAAAAAAAGCTGTTCAAATCAGAGTGAACTTTCTCGACTATATCAGTATCTGGAGTTCTATGATGAATTTTTGCAAGATACCGTTTGAAGTTTTTTCTCTCTTTTAAAAAAAGACCGTGATGTTTAATCTCATTTTTATTTCCTTTTCTTTTTTTTTTACTTTCGTCTCTGATTATTTGCATTCAGGCGGGGGTGTGAAAGGGCATCGAAGACTTTGTTTCAAATTTTCAGCGCCCGTAGCAGAACTCTGAACTTTCAAAAAATGTCTTTCGCTTTTTTTAGTTTTTTTTCACAACCCAAGGTCAGATTACAATTCAAATTACAAACAAAAGCTTCTTAGAAATGCCATGAAGCGCTCATCGATTTGAGCGACTAGTTTTGTTGTTCCATGGCATATTAAAAACAACGTTTTTTTTCTGCGCCTTACGCATTTTTGTTTGAATTTTTTTTGTCACAATAACACTGAGTGGGATAATTGTTAAATTTAAATTATGTTGTTTTTACTCCAAATTTAGATTGGTATTACGGATTTTTTGACCAAGTAATTTTATCTAATTTTTCTGGACCGAAATATTATCATCCTCCTCCCCCTTCCCAGATAGACCGAGTTAAGATCTTCCCCAGCTTTTTTTGGATTAAGTTTTAATAGCGCTGCGACTTTACAACTTGGACCAAACATTCTCACGCCCAATTTTTTTTGGGGGGGGGGGTTCCGAACGGAGAAGATGTTAACTTCAGTAGCATATTTAGGGCGTCCCTTCCCCCCTCAGGGATTCGACCCCCTGACGATCCAAATGGTCTCCCTGTGGTACTAATTTAAAACCGACCCATTTTTGCTGACCGACCCTAACTTTTTTTTAAAATATATATTCAAGAATTTGCCTGCGGCGCAGAAAATTTGGTCAAATAGGGTCTGTAAAGTGATTTGAGAGAGCTCGGAAGATCAATTTGGTCGACATAGAGAAAGGACGACAAAATTTTTTTTACAGTTTTCGAAAACACGTCCCCTCCTCTCCCCTTCGAGAAACTTAATCCGCTCCTGGATAACTTGATCACTTTCTCATCATAATATTAATTTCCTTTTTTAAAAACACGTGTATTTTGATATATGGACTATCCTCGACAGGAGTGTTGAGGCCTATTGATAGCTTCTCTGCGATTCGCAGGAACCCCATTATATTATTATATATAAATGTGTATTGATTTAGCTCTGCTGTATGCTGCCATATTTGGAAATGTGACCACAATAGTGCAGCAGCTGTACTCTAGCAGTGCCCGGTACCACGAGATGCTCAACAACATCCGGGAGTTCATGAAGCTCTACCAGGTGCCCAAGGAGCTCAGCGAGAGAGTCATGGACTACGTCGTGTCCTCCTGGGCAGCCACTAAGGGCATCAATTCAGACAAGGCAAGTGCCATAGTAGTGTCAATCAAGGGCGCATCTAGGTGGGGGGTATGTTTTGATGCTAACATACCCTTTCCCCTCTTCCGCCTCTGAAGTTTGACACCTTGGTCGAACAAACCAAACCGTCCATGTCTGTTACTGATTTTGCGAATCGAATTATTATTCTTCCGTAAAAAATTTTAAAGACATGTGGCAAAAAAAAAACGCAAACGCATTGTTGAGCTAAGTGTTAACAGATGTTTCACCAGCGATTTGACAGTCAATTAACACCAATTCTTCTTAACAGGATTGATTGGTTGTTGCGTAATTTCAATTTAATCATAAAACTCATAACTAACGTCTAAGCGGTGAAATAGTACGCGCTCATACTTTTGAACTAAGAGAAGCAGAAGCCGACAGTTCACTTCCACATTTTATGCAGATTAGATATAGACTTTTCATTTAAAATATACAAATTTTATACATTTATATACATTTCAAATTTTAGACTGATTTTCCTGGGTATCGATTTTTGAAATCAAATATAATCATTTATATTACATTATAATTGATTATAATCGATTATTTTTATCCGAATTTCTAATTTATTTGTTTTGCAGAAAAACCCATTATAAGTGATTATAATTGTTCATAATCCCTTTTTTTGCCCATTTTGTCTTCGACCTTCCACCTGAATTGTTGTTTATATTTTATGCTTTTCGTAGACGTTTTGGTTTAAGTGAAAAATGGGATTTTTTTTTACAGTTTTCAAATCAGTTCAAACTTTTTGTTCATTTCTTCTTGATTATAGTTGTTTCATGATGCACATTTTAGGTTAATCGACCACCAAAATATCAGCACACTTCTTTAGTTTCATGACTTGTACAGAAAAGTTATATTTCACCAACCGCAGGATTTTTTCAACTAATGTGAAGGGATCTCTATGAAACTGTGAACCAAAGAGTGACATGACATCTCACTTTTAGAAATTTCTGACAGAATAAAGGATAGTAATCTATTATAATAGATTATAGTTGATTATGAGAGACTTTCGAAAAAATTATTATCAATTATAATTGATTATAATTTATTATAATGTCACGAAAAATTTTATCATTATAACGGATTATAAATCATTAAAATTTCTAAATTTGGCGCTTATAATTTATTATTTTTTTGATAAAAGTACAGTTATGATTGTAATATAATCGATTGTTTGCTTTTTTTTTACTGAGTGCGGGTTAGCAACCTTGTTGTAATTTAGTTTTAAAAGTTGCAAAAAAACAGATCGATTTAGATTCTACTGCAGTCACTTGATCCTCAAAGCCATGCAACGAAGCTTGAGTCACTGATCGGCTTCAATTGGCTTTTATTTTATTTTTTTTATTATAATAAGTTGAAGAATAGAAAAAAAAAATTGAAACTGTAATCTAAAAAAGCTAGGTTTTCGACAACTCTTCTGGTTAAAAGAACTTTCTTGCCGTAAAATGTTTTATTTTGTCAATTAGGTTTGTGTTCTAATCGACCTTTTCTCACCTTTATGTCAAGTTAGGCTCAGATTATTTTTGCAATCTAGATAATTATTTAAATGAAAACAAAATCCTATTCCTCCTTTTGTAAGCTGTCAGTTTTGATATGGAGAAACGGTCTGTGCTTAGACAGGCCTGAAAAGCGTTTGATAGATCCTCTGCGAATCGCAAAAACCACTTGATTGAATAAAAAGCTACAATATTATTTTTAGAGCTACGAAACTAGCGCCAACAATGGCACGCAACAAGAAAAAAAAACGTATTCTTTAATTAGAATATTCTCATTTACACTCTGATGAACTATGGATAAAGCAGGACTTCATAAAACAACAGTTATTGGAGCAGAAACTTTTTAATGATGAAAATGTATTGGAAGTGCCAGTCATAATGTAAGCTTTGATTATAAAACCGAATTGTATTTCATTTTCAAAAAAATAACGTCACAAGAAAGTTTTTATCTATTGGTACAGTGAGGAGAGTGTTGAAATATCGTTTCCTCTATTTTCAACGCATCACAAACTGTTAAAAAAGAGTCAACAAAGAGCCAGTTCAGAAAAATTAATTCGAATTGAATTTCAGAAATAATGCAAAAACTCAGGGTTGGCCGGAAACTAAAGAAAATTGAGTAAAAATTTGCTGGAAAATTCAATTATTGGTATACTTTTACATAAATGAAAATTTGTGCAGTGAGCTTTTTCGGAGCTTTTTTCCCATAATTTCGTCACCATACAATGATTTTTGTACCCAAATGACCCTAAAATGTAATTAAACTGATTGTACACTGGTTTTGAACAAAATTTTCATGATTAACGTTTCGCCTAGATTTATTGTCAGTAATTGTATGCAGTCGCGGATTTAGGGGGCGGGGGGACGGACGCTTTCTTTTCAGGGTATCGACTAAAGTTTGCTATAAATCAAATTTTGAAAAGGAAGTACCGGGAAAAAATTGGCCCGAAACGGGCAAAATAGGAAGGGCGAGATTTCAGGTAAAGGAGACGGAGAAGAATTGGTTGCCCTTCTGATGGCTTGATGAAATAGTGCCAACTTTTTATTCAGTGTTATAATAGAACTCGTTATAACTGTTTATAATGTTTGTGTTATAATAGAACTCGTTATTACTGTTTATGCCACCCGACAGGCTGATACAATTTTGGCATTCTCCCAAGAAGAACAATAATTTCTGAACGTGAAACTTCTAACAATTTTGGCTATACGTTTCTGGCTCGAAAATCTTTTAAAAGCATATAATATTTCATGATTTTTATTATAATATATATAACATTATGATTAACTTTTTTTCTATTATAAATTATTTATTTTTGTTCAAGGTGTTGTCCTACTGTCCGAAAGACATGAAGGCAGACTTGTGTGTCCACATGAACAGACAGATCCTCCGCCGCCATCCCGCATTCCGCCTGGCCAGCGACGGCTGTCTCCGCTCGCTGGCCGTCAACTTCGAAATGGCCCACAGTGCCCCGGGAGACCTCATCTATCACACGGGTGAGTCATAATTGATGTTTCTGCGATACGCGGAGGATCTCTCAAAGGCTTTTTAGCCTGTCTAGCCATACCAATTTTCTCTGATGGTGCTAATCAAAAGACTGAGATTTTCTAGCTCTGCGATTTGCACTGCAGCTATTTGGTCGGTAGTTGACCTTGACCGAATAAGTGAGTTCATGTTGAATGGCGGTAGGTAATAATAAATATCTAATTGATTCTAAATAACTGTATTAGCTCGGTGCCACGCTCCCCAAATTCCAGATTGAGTTGTTTGTAGTGTGAAGCTCTGTTTTTGCATCACTTGGAACCAATATTGCAACCGAAATCGGCTAGGCTGTTGTAGATCTGAATACGGAAAAACAGTACGAATAAGAAAAACCCCCCATTATAAAAACATTCTGAAGATATTCATATAACGAGGGGAAGGCTGCTTGTTTCCTATAAGCGTGTTTTCTTTGTAAGAAAAAACCCCCATTATAAAAACATTCCGAAGATATTCATATAACGAGGGGAAGGCTGCTTTTTTCCTATAAGCGTGTTTTCTTTGAGCAGTATAAGAATCTGATACTTTAAGGCCATGATTTTGAATTTTTTTTGTAAATTTCCAGTGCAACAATTTATGAGCAATTATAAATCTCTGAGATGTCGGAACTTTCCAGCACCATGGTTAATGTGCACTTTTATTAGTGTTTGGGATAATTTGGGAGACATTTTCTTCTTAGGCGAGAGTATCGACTACTTGTGCTTCGTTGTCTCTGGATCCCTCGAGGTCGCCCAGGATGGAGAAGTGACTGGACTCCTAGGAGTGGGCGACGTCTTCGGGGACGCCTTCTGGCGGGAGAGCACCCTGGGTCAATCGACGGCCAATGTGCGAGCTCTCACTTACTGCGACATTCACATGATTAAACGGGAGTGTTTGCTGGACGTGTTGGCGTTTTATCAGAATTTTGGACATGCGTTTGCCAGAAACATTCAGCTGACGTACAATTTGAGACAGAGAGTTAGTTTCACTTATAATATTTATTGTAGCGGATTTAAGGGTATGCGCACATAAGTCTGTTATGCAGTTTGACTGATTCCTTGGTTTATGGTTTTTGCGAAAGATAATTTCCATTCTTTTTTCAAATTTTTACTTTTTGTTATCCCAAAACTTAAAACATGATAAATCTCAATTAACATTTGGTTGTTATTTGCTTTTAACTATCCATTAAAAAAATCCGACCTTCCTACCCTCTTAAATAATGCCGCCATGCCACAATGCCTTTGATGTATGGCGGCTATATTTTAGACGATCCGATTTTTTTGATCAAAGCAAATAACAACATTTTTTAAACTGAGATTTAGCATGTATTAAATTTTGAGATAACAAAAAATCAAATTAAAAAAAGATTAATAAAGTTAATTAATATCGAAATTACCTTTCGCAAAAACCATTCTTATTGAAACTTGAACTGTCCTAAATTATTTGCTTAATGAATTTAGAAGCGCCAGAAGAAATTCACGGACGTCCTGAAGGAAAAAGCGGAGGAGGAGCGACGCCGTCTCGAACCCCTGGAGGAGATCCCGATGAATCACCCAGTTCGAAAACTATTCAACAAACTCAAAAAACCCAACGACGAGACCAACAAACAACAACAACAACAATCTCAGCAAAATAAGCAAGGGGGCGGACCAGCCCCGGTAGCTGATTCGGCAAAAGATAACAGCAACAATGATCTGAAGCGAGAGCAGCAGATCGACCTCTCCGTCTTAACGGGAGGTCACAAAGGTCAAGAGCGGAGCATGAAAAGCACGTGGTCCATGCATTTTGAGAGCTCGGGGGAAAACAAAGCGAGTAAGGACTTTAAGCTGACTTTTTATTTTCTCAAAAATAAAACCCAGACGGGTTCTGGTTTAGGGTTGAAGTCAAGGAGGTTTTCCTGTTCTAGACTCTAACTTTTAAAAAATCAAGTTATTTGTTTCGAGACGAATTTGTCTGTAAAATATATCAATGTTTCTTTTGAATAGTTTTTTGAATGGAGTTTTAGCATGCATTCTTCTTTTTAACACAAAAATTGATCTCAATTCTGGTCGTTTGAAACCAAAGCATAAATTCTGATTCGACATTTTTTCTATTTTGAGTTTGGAAATGTTTTTTTTTTTCATTAGTGAACATGGCTCGAAAGACGGGAAAACTCTACGAAGAAGACAACGCTAACTTCGTGAAAAACAAAGCCAGCAAATGGACCAAATCTCTTTCTGCTGTCAACAACAACAATAATAATAACAATGACAATAACAGTGAACATTCCGCTTCGCCATTGAACGACATGAAAACAATAACTGCGGAAAACTCAGCTCCAACCAAAAAATTGGCTTCTTTTATTCGAGGAGCTCCGGATGGAAACACTCAAGCGCAGAAATCCAGCGCACTACCACCTCTGAAAGAAACTCTGCCCCAAAATGATCTGAACGTTGTAGACACATCAGTTGTGGATTCCCTTATCAACATTCCAGAAGGCTCCGAGCTGAATATCTCCGCTTCTCAAGATATTGTTCAGACGATTTTCAAGCTTAGAGGCAGTCTGAAACAACAAGTAGAAACTATTAACATGGAATTAGCTTTGCTAGATTCTCAAATTTTGAAAATGGTTAAAACGACAACTCCAAGTTCTTCTAACAATAACGAAAATCAGACAAACAATGCAAAAAAAGACGAAAATCGACAAAGTTAGGGATAAATAAACCAACTACTCGGTATTTTTTGTATATTATTGTTTTAATTTTGTATCAAATTTATTAGCGTTTAATTGTTAAATTGAAGAAAATATTGGTGTTAAATACTAATTGCATAGTTTCTATCTATAACATTGAGTGCATTTCACACACGTAGGTCCAATTCAATGTTTATCCCTAAAAGTTTTATTTCAACTAAAAATTAAAGCAGTCTGAGAAAAACAAGAAGTTCAGCTGCTTTTAAATTTTTTTTCTGAAATCGGTTTTTGGATTTTTAACATTGCAACCCAGATTGACAAAACTTTCCTTCTTTACAGTTTCCATAAATGAAAAATTTTTTATTCAACAGTTCATATAACTCTATACGTACCGAAATTTATATGAAGTTTCTATGACCGCACCAATATACTGATTTTAGTAAATTACCATTTCAGATATTGCATTCAATTTTAATCAGAATTTTAACTAAGAACTGTATGTAATTGTATATGGCTCTTAAGTTTTTGCTTCCAATCCAAACAAAAAATTTAGTCTATTTTGGAATTGTTTTATCTGATTTATCTGCAGTCAAAAAATGTTGGCGTTGACTTTAAAATTACTGCTGTAGAAATTTTCAAGTAAAAATTGCATATCCTACAGTCTCCATCAACGGAAGTTCAATGATAAACATTTCTTTCTTTACATTCCATTTATCAAATTTTTTGATAAGCATTTGTCTGGTTAAGAAATGTAAGAAAAGCAATTTTTGTGCATGGAAGTCAATCACAGAAGTCGGCATCACAAGTTTAAAAACCAATTCTATTTTTTTTCTGGTATTGTTTTTTTTCGAAAAATGGCGTACGTCTAGCTGAAGTTTTTCAACTTGCGTAAAAGTTTTTAATTTTCCTCTATTTTTGTGCAAGTAGGACCAAAAAATACTTGATTTTATTGTAAGGAAGTTTATTTATGAAAAATTTGTTTAGGAGTACTCTGGCAAAAAAGAACTTTCAAAAATATTTGCAGTTCATTTCGAGAACAAACTGTATTTTTTTGATTTGTATGCGAATTCCACAACATGGACGCTATCTTTTTATCCTTCTTTGGTCTTTCAATCTGTTTGATCGTTCCGACAAAATTTGAACATGTTTAAAGACTAGTCTCTGGATTCCAGAGACCTGCAAACACCAAATACAGTTTGGCCTCGTGAAGTTATAGTAAAAAAAATGAAAAATATTCATAAAATTTGTTTTTTGGAAAAAGTTTTTAAGTTTTTCGTCTTTTTTTATAACAATCAAGAACATCTAAACTTTACAGCGAGAACGAATTCTTTTCAAACAAATACAATTTGTATAGAAAATTTTATTTTCTCACCCAGTGAGCTTTTAGATTGTGAAACCTAAATTAATGGTTTGGGTGTAAACAATTTTCCTCAAAAGATTGAATTAAAGGTTTGGGTCTAAACAATTTTTCATCAAATGATTTTCCTCACAAAGTTTTACAAGGATAAAATTATCCAACTAAAACACGTTCTGTCCTCACAAGAATTCGCACAGTCAACGTTTCAACTACTAAATCCAATATACATTTTTTTTCAAATTAATAACTATCATCAAAATCTCACAAAAATGATTCATATCATTTTTTAGGATCGCGAAAACTTGATAACTTATAGTCTCAAAACTTATTCAATTTATTAATTGTAAGTTGCTTATCTCCAAGTCTGAGGTAACTCCGTCAAGTTACAATGAGATTTTGACGGAGTTACCTCAGATTTGGTGATAAGCAACTTACAATTAATAAATTGAATAAGTTTTGAGAGTTTAAGTTATTAACTTTTCGCGATCCTAAAAAATGATATGAATCATTTTTGTGAGATTTTGATGATAGTTATTAATTTGAAAAAAAATTTACTTCTTCGGAGTAATTGAGCTTGGGAAATTTTTTTCTTCAGACAAATTTCCGTCGACATTCTAACTAGTCAATTTTGACAATTTTTTTCCCCTCAGCCCAAAAATATTGTTGTCTTAATCTCAAAATCATTCGGATATTTTGCTTGTGGTCAATTTTCGTTAAGCTTTGAGGTTTAAAGACTGCCAACTTGGCCAATTTGGGATATTAACACGCGATATATTTGTGCTATTAATTCGTAAACGGAGATTTAATCCATTAAACAAATCGTTCCAAATCGAGTTGACGCATGCTTTTTGAACTATCTAATACTTTTCTTTATGCTCTGTATATCACTTGTACTTCACATAGCGTGCAGAGGATAGCTTTTTTCTAAAAAAATCTAGTAATTTTCTTTTGAAAGTTTATCTTTTTGTTTTAAAGTGAATATTACTCCATATACCTTAAAAGGCAGCCTGAATATTCAAAGTTTCGCCCTGAGACGAGCAGTCTTGTTTGATTTTGTATGCCGCTTAATCTGCTGCTTAATTCTCAATCAATATGTATAAAAAAGAATAAACATAGACTGTTTTTATTGAGCTTATACTAGTTCGTGTTAGCAGAAACGTTAGTGATTACAGAACTTTTATAAAAACTTCTGAAAAAAAAACAGACAAAACTATCAAGATCTCTTATTAGCACTTGGTTCTTTTTAAATTTAATAGTATCAGCAGCAGTCTTTCGGGTATTTTTAAACTTAACAGTTCAAACATATTTTATTTATACACCTGACGCAGCACTACAAGTGGCTTCACGGTCGTGTTTTTAAATTCAAACATGTGGACCAAAACTTAGCATCATTCAGATCGTGTGGACCAGAAAACGCCGTGTTGACCAGATCATGTGGACCACCATGTAAATTTACGGAATCCGATTTCAAACCGTGTGGATCGAATGAATTCAGAATCTGAACGTGAGGACCAACGGAATCCGGTTTCAGACCATGTAGATCAACGGAATCAGATTTCAGACCGTGTGGAATGAAGGAATATGTTATCAGACACTGTGGACCGGAGAAATTGGTATCCGGACCGTGTGGTCTAAAGGCATACGGTTTCAGACAGTGGGACGAATGAAAACAGATTCAGAGCGTATGGACCAAAGTAACCGGGCTTACGGCCGTGGGGACCGAAGGAATATGTCTTACGACCATGAGGACCGAAGCATTAGGGATCAGACCGTGCTGATCGAAGGAATCCGGATTTAGACAGTGTGAATCGAAGGAGTTCGGATTTCGACCGTGTTGATCGAAGGAATCCGGTTTCAGGCCGTGTGGATTGAAGGAATCTGTTATCAGACACTGTGGACCGGAGAAATTGGTATCCGGACCGTGTGGACTAAAGGCATACGGTTTCAGACCGTGGGGACCGAAGAAATACGGTTTCAGGCCGTGTGGACCGAAGGAATTTGGATTTGGACAGTATGGATCGAAGTAATTTGGATTTAGACCGTGTGAATCTAAGGAATTTGAATTCAGAACGTGAGGACCGATGGAATCCGGTTTCATACGGTGTGGACAGACAGAATTTAGTTTCAGACCGTTTAAATCAAACGAATCCGGATTCAGAATATGTGGACCAATGGTTTCCGGTTTCACACCGTGTGGAATGAAGGAATCTGTTATCAGACACTGTGGACCGGAGAAATTGGTATCCGGACCGTGTGGACTAAAGGCATACGGTTTCAGACAGTGGGACGAATGAAAACAGATTCAGAGCGTATGGACCAAAGTAACCGGGCTTACGGCCGTGGGGACCGAAGGAATATGTCTTACGACCATGAGGACCGAAGCATTAGGGATCAGACCGTGCTGATCGAAGGAATCCGGATTTAGTAGACAGTGTGAATCGAAGGAGTTCGGATTTCGACTGTGTTGATCGAAGGAATCCGGTTTCAGGCCGTGTGGATTGAAGGAATCTGTTTTCAGACACTGTGGACCGGAGAAATCGGAATTCAGACTGCGTGGACTAAAGGCATACGGGTTCAGACCGCCGTGTGGATCAAAGGAATCCGAATTTAGACGGTGTGGATATCTTTCAGAAATTTTGTTGCAGAGAGGACGGTCTCCGCCGATGAAAGAATTATTGAGATCTTCTCTACTCTAGAACTCAGTTCCCTAAATTTTGCGAGTCCTCTGAAAAAATTTTTCATTCTAAGCCAAAGCAAAACGAAAAAAATTGGCAGAAATATGGGAGAAATTTCTTTTAAATTTTTTTGAAACGTCCAATTTTTGTTTTCTGAAAAAACTTTTGTTTTTTATCTTCTGGTAATTATTTAATTAGCTAGTTGAAATCTTAGATACCTGTATTTTATAAATTCGATTTATGATTGCAATAAACGTTACCCTGAACATGGCTGCAATTTTTTCTTTCGTATTTTGCTAATAGACTCAATAATGGTGTCTCATTTTCTAGAACAGATAAATCAATTTTTTCCCGTTGACCCTTCCCAAGGGAAACAAATGGATATTTGCTGTATTCAATGCTCACTTTATCCATCCGTGTTATTTATTTTTCCATTTATGTTGAGGATTGCATTTGGTAATTAGAATCATTAGAATCTCTAATTTGTAATTTCTTAACACATTGCAAAAAAAATAACTGGGTTGTTCATTCAGTTCCTGTATTTTATTTAAACGGCAGACCTTTTTTTCTCTTTTTTCCGACCATTTGAAAAATGTGGAGGAGCTTTGTATTCGGGTATGTTGTAATTTAAACATCTAGTGTTTTCCACGAAAAATCCTTTCCATAAACAATCATTGGAATAGGTTAGTGATGAATCATATCAAAGTTGTTTCAGTCATGATTCGAAAGACATCAAAAACTTTAGACTGGTTTTTCTCGACCCTGAAAAAAGTTTCAATAGTTTGAAACTTTTTTCAGGGTCGAGAAAAACCAGTCTAAAGTTTTTGATGTTTTTTCTAATTTCAAGATAATAAAGTGAGGCTAAGCAGGCTTGAAAAAATGATTTATGCTTAATTTAGGCCGTGGAAACTTAGTTATGCTCAATAAAATTAGGTTTTGGAGTTTTTAGCGGCAATTTGGGAATCAAAAACTTCAAAATTCAAAAGCTTTTTGGAAAAAAATTAGATTTTTTTCTGAAATTTCTTAACAATATTTTTTTTGTTTTTCTTGTAATTTTTCTTCTTAAATTTTTGTTCCAATTGGCCTATTCCACAATGATAGTCGAATATATCTAATTTCTATTTTTTCGTTCTGAAATTTAATCT